GAAATGCACAGGTGATATAATTACAGGAAGAATGAGTAACTGTAACTAAATTATCATTTTATTATAGATACAATACATTATTACAGATTATACAAAAATAAAAGCTTTAAACAGAGAGACATATCTTATTTTTATGATGCTATAAGATTATCAATGTATAAGTGTGAAATATTATCCGAAAAGTCCAGTATTGCCCCCCCCGCAATTTAGCTACGTTGTTCATAGTTTCAATAACAGCTCATAAAGCCTTAATAATATTCATATAGAGACTTTGTACAGGCAAAGCCATGGTTGGAAATGGTCCATTGAGATCTCTTCTGCATGCTTGAGATCACTGTCTTATTGAAAGATGAATCTCTGCACAACAGGTCTTGTTTGTTAAATGAATGGCATAATTGATAAGCATCTGATTGTACCTGTCGGCAGTCAGGGTGCCATCAACTGTGTGTAGATTTCTAAGAATATTAGCTGTTATTGTTTTATTGTTGCCAAACAATCTGAATTTCTATCCACCTGAAAAGAGCGTCCTCCTCTAGCTTTTATTATCGTGTTAGTTGATGTACAATACTTATTTCATCCTTTGGTTTTGTTATATCTGTAACATTGACACCTTTACTTATAGCTCTGTCATAGGCAAGATCTGTACTGGATCGTCATGTACACGTAAGGACCATATAGCTCTTACTGAAACATGAAATTTCATTTCAATTTGTGGTGTAGATTTGCTTTCATGAGCACAAAATTTGATTTTTGTATGATTTTCATGTAGCATTTCTATCCTAGGAGCCATAAGTGCAATCACAACATTACTGCTTGTTTTTGTGTTGTGAAATCTGACCATAAGATTTTCCAGACTTTGTAAGTTATTCTGTGTAGAATTACATGTGTGCTAGAATCATAGGTCAGTAAAACCAACATTTTTGATGTTTTTGCAATTACAGGATGTTAACCCTAATTTGGTAATTTTAGTTTATTTAATTACAGCATCAAAGAGTGTTTCTTCTCTTCCCTACTTAATAATAATTGTTAATGTATTCGTTTCCCATTGGTGGTTGTGTGATCCATTTCAAGTTTAAAAAGACTAGCTTGCTGACTCATCAGTTCCTCTGAATAATGAGCAAGCTACTCCAAGAAAATAATATTAATTAATTATATTTGGTCTTAGAATAAATAAATAATACAGTATTAAATATTCCTTACCCTAATAATAGCATGTAATGAAAAATTAAACTTCACTAGCTTATTCAAGCTTACAACATAACAGTTGTCGTTAAGCAATTTGTTAATAAAAATAGTGTTTCAATAATTTCTTTGTTTGTCGTGTTCCAGCAGGCTCGAAGTGCCCTAGTATTACGAGAAAGACCTCGTTGACATTGGATAAATCATATAAAGTGTGGTTGACATATTATTATACACTGTTGTTTACTTTCACTCAGAAGTTGTTTTTATATGTTATGATGTAATACCTTGCACTGAGCAACAATTGACCGGAAGGATGTATAACTCACAGGGGATCTAATGTATGTCCTTCTGCTAAGTGCAACTATGCTGCAGCGTTTACAGAAATGTGTGGAAATACTAGATTTTGCCCATAATGCTGATGTATTTGTTTACCATCAAATGCGTACATCAGCCATGCATCTAAAGAAATTCTACAAAAATCTGTAACATAATGACTATGGTACATGCTTGCAGCTCATAATGAACTTGATATTTTTGGGAGTGGTCCAAATATTGCCATTTGAAAATTCAGAAAGACGAACTATGAGTTGCAAAAGTTGTGTGATAAACATAGGTTCAAACACATGAACAAGCTGAAACACCTACATTAACAATGGGACTTTCAAAGAGTGGTTACTCTATAAATCAGAGGCTAAAGGGCAATTGGCACTTCTAAACTAATGAAGAGAAAGAAACTGGCAGTAAATATATAGCTGTTTGAGAGGAGTTGAATGAGGAAATATCAGTAGAGGAGCAGCCTGTCTGTTCTGATGGTTAAATGAGATGTTGATCTCCTTGTTGCTATGGCTGGTATTGTAACTCAATACCATGTAACATTGTCAGTTAATTGAAACTTCAATATGCGAAAGGAAATGAGATTCCTGTCTTTCCAAGCTATCAAGTTGTAGTTCATGATAAGACATCTTCAGGATGTCATATGATAAGCACTTGATTATTACTTAGTTAGGACAGATTTTTGTTGCAAAATATACAACTCAAAGGATATTGTCCCGCTACTTTACGAGCTATTAAGCTAATGCATACAGTTGACATCAGATTTTTATCAAATGATACTTAACACATAAAGTTTACATTTATATCTTGTTCTATTCAAAACTGTACCCAATGGTCTGGTACATGTATACCAGTTTTCAGTACAGTAAATGAGTGAAGTTCCAACACAGCCTGAGAAATTGATATAGACTGTATAAGTATAGCAAAATATGTATCATTTTGTTATAGCTTTGTCTGAGTTATTTTCATGTTTATCTGGTGTAATGGAATTTTCATGATCCAGGGATGGTAGTACTATAGAGAAGAACATAGTAATTTGTGATAATTGCTGTGTTAATATGGCAAAACTAATTTTGTTGTCATCCCATGTGCACCTATTACATTGTACAGTTAGGATATGCATGTGATCTAGTTGGGTTTTTGTAGAAAGAGTGAGTACTTCTGCTTATTAGTGGCTGTGATTACTTTTATTTTCATAACCAGCAAAGATATCCAGCAATCTAAGGCTCAAAACGTATTCTTATAAATGAGCGTGAACCATCCTTTTCACTAGTTTGAGCCAAATCATATGAGCTATTTGTCAAATAAAAAGCATGCTCAACATTAAAAACGCTTTCTATTAGCTTCGGCTTCATATATTTTGTTATTGTTGAGCCCTCATTCATGGAATTAAAATGGCAAAATTGCAAATGTTACGTATACATTTAAAATCTACCATATTTTATCGAAGTAGTTTAAGCCAGTTCCTCACAACAACATGCTAAACCTTACAGAGTGGTGAACAACTCTATTTCGTTATATGTAAGTTCTAGTAGTCTAACTCTCCAAATAGCATTCAAAGACTCTATGTATGCTATATTTAGCTCGCATGGATAGTCGTACTGATGCTGACATTGGTTGCTATGGGTAGCAGACTAACCAGTGAATGATAATGCCATGATTAATTAAATGTGATATAGAAATAGATATGTGTGCGTGTTTTACTACACGTGGTCTTAGATCACACATGAGCCAATCTATATCAGTCAGGCGGTAGTACTGCCTATGTGGGGATGGTTCGGATTGTTCATCGAAATGGTAGTTTACATATCGCCTCAGTATGTGATCAGAACCTTACAATACTATACGATGTTTCCTTTTATAACAATATCTATGTCACAAGTTCTGAGAATGTCTGTAAATATCATAGCAAAAAGTTTGAATTTCTTGTTCTTCTTTCTTCTGCTTCTTTTTTATTACATGATAGCACAAAAACTAAAACAATGGTGTCAACCAATTTCATTGAAGTGAAATAGTTTCAAACGGAATATCCGCTTTTATAAGTATTATTAATAAATAGTAGTTATTAAAAAAATCCTAATTCTAGTGTAAACGATGTTATCATTACCCCTTGTAGTTAGCATTCTTACGGACATTTCGCGTTCCTTTAAAAAGATTAATTGCAGGGTGAAACAGAAATTACCAGCCAAATATTACATTTGGAATTGGTTACACTGTACTAAAAACTACAACAAGCAGAGAAGTAAAGAAAAAAATTTTCAAAAAAGGAAGTAAATGTAGAGATGGCTAATACCAATCCTTCAAAAACAATGCAAACATATAACAATAAAGATAACTATTTAATTACAAGTGAGTTTAATTTATCACATTTTTGTCTCTTAACATACTACTATACTGTATG